CTATATTTTATAGACCAATCGGCACTTGGTGGGTGATGTGGTCAGCATCACGCCAGCCGCCTTTACTTCCTAGTCCTCCACCGGGTGGACACTAAAGTGCTGATAGGTGGCTTGTGTATCATCTCTCTCGCGCTCTGTGACTCTCCGCCTACTTTTAATAAACAAACATGCACGTATTAATCGACACTTACATATAGAAGTAGATATATAGAAGGACACGCTAGATAACACGCATGTTACATACAAACGAAGACAGCACCTCCCTGCAAGAACAAGTGTACTAAGACACACGACCAGCTAGGCACCAGCAAAATGTTTGTCTCTTGGGAACCAAAGCGGTTAAAACAGATGTGGCCGCGACAAGGGATTAGACCGCTCCCTTCTGCGTCTTCTTGTAATATAAACGAATCTATTCATTGTTTATTCTCATGGCGATTTACAGTGACCGACCAGTCTCTGTCAAACAGGACAGTTTTGGGTTTAAATCCACATAGGTCGTATTTATATAAGCAACATCACGTTGTTGTGTCGAGCCAGCCCTAGATTGGAGCCTAGGAATTGTTGTGGAAAATAAAAGCGGTTGCAGTGATGTTGATTAGTGTTGAAAAAATGTAGGTCTAGTGCTGAATGAGCGACGTGCCAATGACTTGAAAAGTTTAGTTGCTTTAACTTAGTTCTTTGGTGTCTTTCTGGCGATAGCAACGGTCTTAAATGTCACCCCCATCTCCGGGACTCCACAATTTCGTGGGGTTTAGGTTTAGACAACGGATCAACATCATGACACAAGGGTAATGACCCATAAGTGCTCCGTTCGTTTGAGTCGGAATAATCACAGTGCATGAAGTCCGTCGCATCTGCGAGGATGCAAAAATACTTTGTGTACATTTTTAAATCCTAATTTTTTTTTTTTACAATACACACGGACGTCCGGTCTCACTAGAGACTAGGGGAAATTACTATAAGTCCACGTGAAAAATTCCCACCCTTCACCGGTGCTCGAACCCGGGACCTTTAGCACTAGAGGCGGACGCCATAGCTCGAGACCACGCAGCTCCTCATTTCGTAGAGAATTCCCGCGAAAGTCCAATATTACAGTTGGGTAGGATTAGTAGGTGTTCGTTTCACACCCTAACACTTCGATACAATTCTATTTTCCCGGGAACTTCCCTCCCATGAAATTTTGGAGTCCCCGAGATATGGTGAAATTGAAAAAGAAAAGAGCTATAGCAACTTCTTCATCATTCCGAGCCTTTTGAGGTTCATTGCTGCAGATATCACACGCCTCCATTAGTCTTTGTGACTGGCCTTCTCCTTCCAGTTGGTGACTCCCAAGTGTTTAAGGTGTGCCTCACGTTTGACCAGAATAACTCTATTGTCAAGTCTTTATTATCGTCACCTGTCCATGATCGCATGGCCACAGAACAGAACGTGAAATCAATGTCTGTCGGCGTTATTGATTCTGGATTTATTGATGGCAGAACCCGGGATTGCTCCTACCGCGGCTTCTCTTGAGCTGTTTTGCCGACGGCTTTCCCCATCTACCCCACCTTTGTTTCTGTGTTTGCTGGAACGTTTTGTTCTTGTTATTTTTTTTTTCTCGGTTGGTTTCATATGGCCAGGTTGTCTTTTATGTTGCCTCTATGAACTGGTAGGGCAGCGTCAAGTCTCCAAGGGTTCCCTAAAGTGTGTCCTGGAGCCCTCTTCCGCCTGGCTATCTGTTTTCTCGCAGCTTTTGCAGTTCGGCAGATAACAGTGGTGTGAAGAGTCCGTTCCTTCAAAGAGGGAGAACCTTTGAGGCCTTTGAATTAATCAAGTAACAGGAAGTGTATTGATTGGCACTCATAGAAAGAAGTAGAAAGATAGAAAAACACACTAGACAACATAAAAAATGGAAAGCTATAATTACCGTGCCGGGAATTGAACCTGTCACCTCCAGACGGCGTGTGCGCCTCGCCATGGATACAAGTGCACTAAGAACATGGTCAACTGTGCACCCCCCCCCCTTCCAAAAGGTGTCTTATTGGTCATGTCTATCGTACAGCTTGAAATCCACAACTATGGAATACGCCGTCTGGAGGTGAAGGTTCAATTCCCGGCACAGTAACTATAGCTTTCGATTTTTATGTTGTCTAGTGTGTTCTTCTATCTTTCTACTTCTTTCTATGAGTGCCGATCAATACACTTTCCGTTTCTTGATTAATTCGTTCCTTTAAGCGAAGTGTTCCTATGTGTATCACATTTTCCCTTGGTCGTGCGAATATCTCCTCGGTTTTAGTCTTCTGCCATTTATCTTGCAGTGAAGCAAAATTCCTATTTCAACTCACTAGAATTTGTAGGCGTGGTCATGACCGGTTAGATCTGAATCTAAACCCAAGATAATGGCCATACACGGGAAGCCAAAGAAGAAAAATAAACTATCATAGAACTAGCGTCGTCTTTTTCTCTGCACCCTGAGCGATATCCTGAGGAGGGTATCGGTGCACTTATGGGGCTGAATGGTGGAAAGCCAAAGAAGAAGAAAAAAACCACCATGCAACCAGCATCGTCTTATTACATTGCACCCTGAGCGATACCCCGAGGAAGGTATCGAGGCACTTAAGGACTGATTGATGGAAAGCCAAAGAAGAAGTAAAAAACCACCATGCGACCAGCATCGTTCTATTCATTGCACCCCGAGCGATACCCCGAGGAAGGTATCGAGGCACTTAAGGACTGATTGATGGAAAGCCAAAGAAGAAGTAAAAAACCACCATGCGACCAGCATCGTCCTATTCATTGCACCCTGAGCGATACCCCGAGGAAGGTATCGAGGCACTTAAGGACTGATTGATGGAAAGCCAAAGAAGAAGGAAAAAACCACCATAAAACCAGCATTGTCGTATTCATTTCACCCTGAGCGATACCCCGAGGAAGGTATCGAGGCACTTGTGGACTGAATGATGGAAAGCCAAAGAAGAAGAAAAAAACCATCATAGAACCAGCGTCTTATACATTGCGCCCTGAGCGATACCCCGAGGAAGGTATCGAGGTACTTATGGACTGAATGATGGAAAGCCAAAGAAGAAGAAAAAAACCATCATAAAGCCAGCATCGTCTTATTCATTGCATCTTGAGCAATACCCTGAGAAGGAGGGTATCGGTGCACTTATAGGCTGAATGATTGTTTTTGCAGTATAATTGATCTTCCCACTTTTCACAGTGTATTAAACGGACCTTGGCGCCACGTAACGAGTCGCCTACTTTTAGAGATACCGTACCAAGGAACTTGGCGGCCATCTTGTTTCTTCTTAGCGTTTTCATTTACATATGAATCTGTCGATCGATGCTGAGTCGATGGTTTTGTGACAGGCGGTCGATCGATCGACAGTTCGATCGGAGCGTCGATTGCAGGGCCCGTTGTGACCTGTTCTGTAATTCCAACTTGAAAGCATATTCTAGCACAGCGGTTTTCAACCTAAGACCATCGGAAAACCACATATTCACTGAATATAATTTGACACATTGAGGCAAACCTTTTGGCCAGAAAGAACAACAGTGGAACGTAAACTCTATGGACCACTGAATGAATTAACAGCAGTGAAATTTATACAAGAGACAACATTGCGGATATAGACAACTTATTTCAGGAGAACGGAAGAAGACTGAAGTTATGAAGGAAAATAATTGTTTATAGGTCACCACAACACGAGGAAATTGTTTTAAAGGGTCGCGGCATTAGGAGGGTTAAGATCTACTGTTCTAGCACTTTCGGCTACGCGCTTTAATGTTCTTGTCGGAGGGTCATATGGATTGATTAAAACATTTCGGTACTGGTTGGCACTAGAAGAAGACAGGAACTCCCCGTGTGGGTTCCAGGGGCGCAATTGTGTTGGGGGGGGGGTGGGGCGGGGGTAGTATAGAGCGTAGACGTACTGCCCTGTAACATCCATTTCGTAAAGGGCGACTTATAAGATTTTCCTTCGAAGAAAACCTGCATCTGCTGAAGAGGAGAGGGACATTAGAGGCTGTTCGAAGAAGAGGAGAGGGACATTAGTGGGCGTTCGAAGAAGAGGAGAGGGACATTAGTGGGTGTTCGAAGAAGAGGAGAGGGACATTAGTGGCTGTTTGAAAAAGAGGAGAGGGACATTAGTGGCTGTTTGAAGAAGAGGAGAGGGACATTAGTGGCTGTTCGAAGAAGAGGAGAGGGACATTAGGGGGTGTTCGAAGAAGAGGAGAGGGACATTAGTGGGTGTTCGAAGAAGAGGAGAGGGACATTAGGGGGTGTTCGAAGAAGAGGAGAGGGACATTAGTGGCTGTTTGAAGAAGAGGAGAGGGACATTAGTGGCTGTTCGAAGAAGAGGAGAGGGACATTAGGGGGTGTTCGAAGAAGAGGAGAGGGACATTAGGGGGTGTTCGAAGAAGAGGAGAGGGACATTAGTGGGTGGTCGAATAAAAGGAGTGGGACATTAGTGGGTGGTCGAATAAAAGGGGTGGGACATTGGGTCAAGGGTTATGTTATGTTATATAATATAAGCTACTTATGTAAAACGGACTGAATTGAAGTTTCTCTGACCACTTCTGTACTATAATCTTTTCCAAAACTCGAGTTTTCCACGCAATTTCTTTATACGGGTCTCGCTTATTTGTAGACATACAGTTGGTTCCTCGCCCTAAGACAAAAGCACTACGACATGGAAGAAAAAACCCATAATAACTACTTTTACGACATGCTTGTTATGGGGGACGGGTTAACTTCCCGACGATGGGGTCCCCGAAACCCACACTGAGATTTGGAAAATGTAAGACGTCTCTTTTTTTTTTCTGGTGAAAGACAACACAGTACTATCCTAGGAGTGTATGGCGGGACACTGAGCTACGGGTGTTTTTCGTTGACACAGGAGCGGAGCAACTATGAGGTGACCCGTTTGCTATGAAGCGGAAACTAGGATTACCATATCCTGGGAGTATAAGATATGTCAAATTCTTGCCTTTACCACTTGTATCTCTTGGTCATTTTTCAGTGTCCAGACTGTTCTGTGAGAGTGAGTCCTTCAAGATGGACCTGATACTTGACGTCAACACGCTAATTTACCCCGTGGAACTGGGTAGGTTATTGTTGTTTGTGTATCTGAGAAAGAGGAAGATGAGTTAGCAGTATTTACTGCAACAGACTCGAGGTCGTCTAATAGAAACCTTATAACGCACTTTGATGAGAGAGGCCAAAGGTGCTAGACTTGATTCTATCCACAATGTGGAAGTGATTGCACACGATGGGACGGAAATGAGAAATATGATGATGATAATACACTACAACTGGATTACTGCGTAATAGTACGTTTCATAACTTGTGTCCTCACACTTTTAACAAATAAGTCGAAAACTTCTGCACGGATCAACACGAATTTTTGTCTGCGGCCAAAGATTTTCCTACTTCCTTAACTCTTTGAGTCCCAAGGAACGCATCATGCGTTCATAGGTTCCAACCTAAAGGCCTAATAAACGCAAGATGCGCCGATTTTACATATCTCTTAACTGCTCCTTGGGCCTTTCATGGGACTCTAAGAGTTAAGATTTCCTAATTCATAGTTACACAGGTGCTGCTGTTTTCTTAAAGCGGCCAATTAATTGTCTCTTTGATCTATATTCGACTAATATACCCTCAAAAAGAGAATATGCAGTAATTGGCACAAGCGTGTTGATTGGAAATATGTTCACGTGTGCAGCGATGCGTTGTGGTTATTTTGATAGCCTATCCGGCAGACAGAGAAATATCCGCAGTTCACAAAAGAATAATACTGGGGGTGTCCACATGGGAGTGAAATACCTATGACACGCGTGCAGTTCTTGTTACTCAGTTAAGCATGTAAGTATGCTGTATTGGTGTCTATTTTTTTAAAAAAAATATACTGCAAATGAGGCAAAATGGAAACTTAATGTTTGCTCACATAAAGATATTATGACAAGGACATGATTATCAACAGGTTGCATGCCAAATTTCAACAAATTACACCCTGTGATTGCCCAGATAAATAAAATCCTTACCCGCACAGTTGAGGCGACAGCACTAGCCATTCGGCCGTAAAACCTCAGGCTGAAAAGACCACCCTACCTGTCCCGCAAAATGGTATTATAAAGGCAGCAATTGGCCGATTGCTGAGGTACAGCTTTTTAAAAGTTGGATATTGCTTTTAAAACAGACTGTAGGAAGTCATTAGTCAGACCTAAGTAAAATCATTAGAATCGACTTTATTTGCATCGAATTTCATCGCACATGGCACGTTCTCTCCGTCAAGCGGCTGGTCGCAGACCGAAAAGGTCGTACAAAGCACGAAACCCGTAGCCCCCACCCTTTCCCTCAAAGCCCCAACGTTTCCCCCCCCCCCCCGTAAAAATTGCCTTTTGTAGAATACAGAAGGCTTTGGCGGAACCAAACCACACAGTCTGTGAAACAGATCTTTTAGGCCTCGAACATTACGAAACGATTGTTTGCTCCCTGCTTACTCCACTCTTGTAGAAACTGTAACGTATGAAAACTACCAGTTACTAGTACTGTATTACGATGCTAGCTACGCACGCATACTGTCTACAGCCAAATGAGAGAAATGTGACGTGATACCCCCTGCAGTCGCTTGACTGCAGATCTGAAGGTCGTAGGTTTAGACCCTAAAAATGACTTTAGCTCCCAGATCGACCAGCCTTGAATGGGTGCCAGGTAAATTCATGGGAAGTAAAGGCAGCAGGCGTGATTTTGACCACTTTGCAGAAGAGTGCCGTTTGGTCTATATAATATAGGCCCAGCCCTGTATGCCCGATGGCGCGAACAAAGTCCCTTCACTTTTTCCGACCCTCTCCAGTGTAATCTACTAACGCTTACACGTGCGAATTGGTCACACCTGACCACCGATGCTCATTAACGCAGACATCTTTATGTACTTTAACATTGACATGTCCCGCAGGTGATAAATTTCGACTTGTCATCGCCACCACACTCCGCGAGGACGGCTGCCCGGACGACGGCGAGTTCAACCCGACCAGCACCGGGCCCAGCCGGGCGGATCAGTTCGAGTACGTCATGTACGGCAAGGTCTATCGCATCGAGGGCGATGACGGATCCATGGATTCCTCCAGACTGTAAGTACCTGCAGCCGTTTGGTGTGTGTGTACTGTTTGTCAGTGTGGTTGAGTCATGTGCCTCCAGACTGTAAGTACCTGCAGCCGTTTGGTGTGTACTGTTTGTCAGTGTGGTTGAGTCATGTGCCTCCAGACTGTAAGTACCCGCAGCCGTTTGGTGTGTACTGTTTGTCAGTGTGGTTGAATCATGGCTCCAGACTGAAAGTACCTGCAGCCGTTTGGTGTGTACTTTTTGTCAGTGTGGTTAATTCGTGGCTCCAGACTGTAAGTACCTGCAGCCGTTTGGTGTAAACTGTTCGTCAGTGTGGTTGAGTCGTGTGCCTTCAGACTTTAAGTATTTCTAGCCGTTTAGTGTGTAATGTTTGTCAGTGTGGTTGAGTTGTTTGACTTCCGCTGTGAAGATTGGGTGTTCGGTTCTGTTGACCCTCCTCTAAATCGATGGTGCATGTATTTATTATGTACTTTCATTTTAGCTCACCTCAAACATGGGTAATTCCGGAATCCCCAGTATTACATGGTGTTAGAGCTAGGATTAGTCTGTCTTCATTTAAAACCTCAACGCCTTTATAATATTGGACTGCCACAGGGATTCCGTACACCCTGTTCATAAAGTCACTGTAGACCATATTACTTACACATTTAAAAAGTAATTATACACCTCTTTTCTCTCATCACCAGTCAGCAAGTCGTTTACAGAACGTCGCTCTCCCCACGGCATGCCTGAAAGTATCCCTTTCCCTAGCCAGCTGTCCATCCGCATGCGCTTCCAGTGTCTTGTATCCATCTTCGCGTTGGTCGACCCCTGCCGTGCTTTCCACAAACTGCACCTTCTATCACCGTCTTTTTAAAGCCACCATGAGGCTCGATGTGGCCAAAATACTTCAACTTCAGGGGCAGGAAACTGTTTATGAACCAGTTCTCCTTGATGTTTAACTCGTCTTTAACTCTTGTTCTGTTCAGTATGAACAAAGTCATTGCAGTTTAGTTGCGTATCCTTTACACGACGTTGCAGATCCAACCCCAACAGCCCCTGACTGTTGTGTGGTTTTTCTAGACAAATTTATGTCTTGTAGTAACTCGTGTAGAATGGGGATATTTTTCCTTTTCTTGATCAATGGTATTCGGAGAATTTTTCTGTAACATTTTAATCTCTTTATTCTTTTAAAAAAAAGTAAGCATACGTTTGTTTCTTCAGGTTCGAAAAGTAACTATTCTTAATAATTTACAGGTTCGCAAAGTAACTATACATTAGGTAACTACACGTTCGAAAAGAAGTATACATATACTGAAAATATAAAAGTGTATATTAGAGGTGATCTTTGGAACCTAATTTCGGCTGTGACACACGTACTGTGCATAAAATATTAAATAAATACATACAGATACATTATAATATTCATAAATGCACAGTGCTATTTGAATACATGCATATGCATTATCCTAACGTGTATTTAGCTTAGAACACGCTTACACATTTAGAAGCCGACCTACTGACACACTTCTTGTTAGGTTTTCCCATGACATCAAGTTACCATAGTTAGTTATAAGTATTATCCCACTGCACCAGAATGTAACGTGGGAACTTAGTGGATTTGTGTCACCTTCTTGTTTGTATTTCGGCTTTCTACATTTTTGGCTCTCAAATGACGGCCCTCCCTCGGCTTCGCACATGTCCAGTGTTTGACCGAATCATTAGAGCTCCCTCCGGTTCCTGGCACGAGAGTTAGTGGTGTTGTCTCCCCCTGTATGGCAGAGAGAATGTGGGCCACATTGTTTGTGGTAGGAGGAGGGGCTGCCTGATGACAGTGTGAAGTTTTAAATATGCTTGCTTTTAAGATTTGTTCTGCGGAATGCGTTTCCCAAAATGTATTTGCCTACCTCCCTTAAAGAAAACCACCACCCGCTGGACCACTATAGGTCTAACAATATATGATCAGGCCCCCCCCCCCTTCCCCAGGTCGACCCGCCTTGAGTGGGTGCCAGGTGCAGTCCTGGGAAATGAAGGTAGCCGGCGTGACGCTGAGCACATCACCTACCCAGTGCCGATTGGTCTTTACAAATACAGGTCTAGCACTATATCCAAATACGCCTGAAGACATGGAAAAGGGCCCTTTACTTTTACTTACCAGTGAAATAGTGGAGGAGAGAGATAGATAGTGAGAGGGAGGGAGAGAGAGAGAATCTGGCAGCATTATGTACTGTTTGTTATCACAAAAACAAATGATAACTTTGCAGTGACACATTTTTTGAAAAATAAGTGTGAAATAGGAACTACGAATTGTTTTCATTAATGTTCAGATTCAACGCCTCCCCGCCCCATTTTAATTCAGTCTCTCTCTCTGTCTCTTTCTCTCTCTAGTCTTAAGTAAACGTCTTGAGCCATTTCCCAGGCTTTGTTGAACATATATAGTTAGACCTATATTTTACAGACGAATCGGTACTGGGTAAATGATGTGCTCAACATCACAACGGTCGCCTTTACTTCCCTTGATGGGTAGGTGATGTGCTCAACATCACACAGGTCGCCTTTACTTCCCATGATGGGTAGGCGATGTGCTCAACATCACACCGGTCGCCTTTACTTCCCATGACATTACCGGGTACACATTTAAGACTGCCGACGTGGGAACTAATTTTTTTTTAAATTTTGAAGAAATACGGCTCCGATAGGATCCGAACCCACGACGTTACGCCACGGCGGCTCCCTTTGCTAGAGTGCTGTGAAGTTAGAGAAGGACCTTTCTTTTTACGCAAGTGGCCAGTTGGGTATATTAGAATGTTTGGCTATCCTCCGAATAACGGGGACAAAAGATGGCGGCCAAAAAGGAGATGCGGAAGCTGCTGCTCGTGAGTCCTAGCCATCTAGTTTAGCCCCAATCCACGCGGCATGGGAGACTCTTGGCGGTGGCGGTAGCCGCCGGAATACCGCAAATTAGGTCGCCCGAAGTGCGCAATTGACACGTGACTGAGGCTCTGTTAGGATGTTTTTTCGGCGCCATCTGTTGTGCCCGTTATTCGGAGGATAGCCGAATGTTTTTATCTGCCAGTCAACACTCGATGGGTGGTACCTTTATTGTCGCCTTTACGTCCGATGACTTTACCTGGTTCCCATTTTAGACAAGGTCGACCTGAAGCCAAGGTGAAAACAAAAGCCGATCCCGTGAGGATCTGAACCAAGGACTTTCTGATCCTTATGCGAGCTACTGGGGATGGTAACACGTGATTTTTTCCTCGTGCCTTTGCTGTAGATAGTGTGCGTGCGTAGCTAGCATCGTAGTACAGTACTAGTAACTGGCAGCTTTCGTACGTTACAGTTTCAGAGGAAACATTAGAAACATGGGAGTTTAAACCCAGTACCTCCGTACCTGCAGACACACATACACACATATCTTTTCTCGACCATTTTCCACGCCTTCGGGTATATTGGGTACTTAGGGATCGACCTGTATTTTATAGTCCAATCGGCACTTGCTGGTGATGTGGTCAGCGTCAAACCGACCGCCTTCACTTATGAGGACTGCACCTGGTGCCCACTCAAGGCTGGGTCGACATGGGTGCCAGTGTCACACTAAACAGATCTCACTCAATGCGAATCTTAACCCAGTACCTTCGTGCCTGTACATAGACATACGCACATAACCGCGACCCCCCCACTGGATGAGATGAGAATTGATGGACAATGGTCAGAAGTACCCACCGTCTTCTTATTGCGAACCCCCTTAACGCCGCCTGCCTGTCATAACTGTTTGCGTTTTCAAACCTTCAAGTGTCAGTGTCATCAAGAGTGGACATAATCCGCCCCAACTTGGCCCGGTCACACACCAGCGATGAGGGAGGGGGGCAACCGCTAACGTTCTGGAGACAACAGTTGGGCTAAACAAACCATACAATCATTGCTGATGGTCTGTCTTTGTACACATCACGTCCAATGGTTATTTTTTTTTCCTACCTCAAAATATGTTTAAGGCCCTACCAACCAACGTTGCCCCCACCTAAGAATTGTGACAGAAAAATATTTACTCCCCAGTGTTGAAAAATTGGATATTCAAGCGGTGGTATAAGTGGAAAAGGTTAAAGTTCCTGCAAAGCCAACGGAGCTTACGTTTCGGACATGGCATATTCATTCGCACAGCAGGCGAAAACCTCAGGTGGTTTGGCTTTTGAAAATGTGGCAGCTAATTGGTTGAAAAGTCAGACGGGCTGACTTAAAAGGACCTCACAGAAGTCAAAGGTATAGCTTGAGCTTACTCCGTATTACCGAGACAGTACTGACCTTTCTGGAGCTATTTGAGAACAATAGAAATGCTGTGTAGATATACACAATTCTTATTTTGCGTTTATGATGTATAACGGTATCTGAACAGTCATTTGTTTTCATGCGGATCTCTCATATATTGCATTTTCTTCTTCTTCTTCTTCTTCTTCTGCGTTCATCCGAAGATGAAATTGCGTTGTGACAGTTTACAGCATGGCTGCGATATTTGCACCTTTCGGCCAACACATCCAACTTCTGCGGGCATTTGTTGACTGGGTTAGCCTTCCTGGATATTGTATTTGAAAACAAAGATCTAATATGTTTTCATGCAAAGACTCTTAATCTGTTGTTCATGCGTAGCTGAAATATTATGTTTTCTGAATCATCATCATTGGACAGTGATCATACTTTCAGAATATTGTATTTAGTCTCTGGAGATGTGGATATACAAAAATTAAGCTAGTTGCATATCCTTTAGAGCAGCGTTCTTCAACATTTTTTTTACTCCCAGGCCACCAAAACCATAGGGAATGATAAAATAACTTTTATGCAGTTGAACGGAGTTTATAAATTCACACCTGTTTGATTCTCACCCCTGAGGTGTCAATCCTTCAAACTGCAATCCGGGAAGAGAAAACCTCCATACCTTCCCCATAAGACATAAATTTTTAGGGGTCTAGCTGGTCTGGTCTGTTAAAGGAAAAAAAAAAAAAAACACCGAAAAAAATAATTTGATCAAGCCTTT